GTTGTGAGTATCGCAATTGTGAGTATCTTCTTCGGTGGCGCTCCCTATGGGGCCACGAACCGCATGAGGGGTGTGCCGAAATGTGGCGGGGTACACAAGGCAAAGGAAAACGATAGATCTGATTACGAAAGAAAGAACGCGGGTGAGTCAGAGCGCGAGGGAATCTGAGTATGAATGGGTCTGCGCGCGAATGAATATATTTGCATGAATGCGATCATGGAAACGCCTAGTGTAAGTGTATATGAATGTGAATGGTTCGAGCATGCCTGTCCGAACACACGTGACACTGGGCGCGGCCGCCGCAGGCAGCTTCCGCGGGAACCCCGACGGCAGCGTCCGCACGTCGCGACGCCCATGTCGGCACGCCTCTTGCGAGGATCGCGCCCGCTTTCGGCTCTTCTTTTCCTTCCTCTTTGCCCGCGCACTCCAAAATCCAAGGCTGCGGGCGCAGCGCAGCGCGGAGTCCCCGCGACGCGCGCTGGTCGCCCCGGGCGGGGCCCCAGCGACGCGCGCGGGTCGTCCGCTGCGCGAAGCAGAGAGAGCTGACTAGCTAACTGGCTGGCTGATAGCGGGCAAGTCTCTGACCGCTGGGCAGAGCGACGACGGGCGAACGAGGCGCCGGGCCCCCCGCAGCACGGAGTTCCCGCGACGCGCGCTGGTCGCCCCGAGAGGGTCCCAGCGACGCGCGCGGGTCGTCCGCGGCGCGAGGCCAAACAATTAGTCGGGCAGTCGAGAGAAGGCGCAGCTCGGGGGAGACGCTCCTCAGGTCAGGCCTCGCGGATGAACTCGGTGAAGCCGAGCTCCCTGGCGAGGGCCGTCGCTTCCCTCCTGCACCGCTTCGTGCGCGCAGCAAACTGCTCCAGCTGCTTCCGCAAGCCCTGCGGCGGCCCTGCCAGGAAGAACTCGATGCGCGGCGCCCGCATGAGCAGGAGGTCCTCGTGGCGCGTGGCGCGCGAGAGCAGCACGTAGAGCTCCAGCCACCAGTCGTCGTCCTCCTTCTTGCCGTTCCCTACCTCGTGGCGGCCGCAATCCAGGATCACGCCTGGGCGACGTCGACCGAGGGAGCAGCGCGCCGGGCAGCCGACGGCCCAGGGCGAGAGTCCACAGGACCGAGAGATGGTCTGGCCGCGGACTGCTCGCGCCCGGAGGTCTGGCCGCCCCCGGAGCGCCGTTTCTCCGCCCCGTCGCCTTCGCGCATGGTGCGCCCCTGGCACGCCACCGTGGTGATGACCCTGCCGTGCGAGAAAGAAATGCATGCGGGCGGGGGGGTGCCGAAATGGGTGGGGGTGACGCATGCGGGCGGCGGCACTGAGGCCTTCGGTGGAGCTCCCTATGGAGCCACGAAACGTGTGAGGGGTGTGCCGAAATGGGTGTGGGTGACGCATGCGGCCGCGGGCACTGGGGCCTTCGGTGGAGCTCCCTATGGAGCCACGAAACGTGTGAGGGGTGTGCCGAAATGGGTGTGGGTGACGCATGCGGCCGCGGGCACTGGGGCCTTCGGTGGAGCTCCCTATGGAGCCACGAAACGTGTGAGGGGTGTGCCGAAATGGGTGTGGGTGACGCATGCGGCCGCGGCCACTGGGGCCTTCGGTGGAGCTCCCTATGGAGCCACGAAACGTGTGAGGGGTGTGCCGAAATGGGTGTGGGTGACGCATGCGGCCGCGGGCACTGGGGCCTTCGGTGGAGCTCCCTATGGAGCCACGAAACGTGTGAGGGGTGTGCCGAAATGGGTGTGGGTGACGCATGCGGCCGCGGGCACTGGGGCCTTCGGTGGAAGCTCCCTATGGAGCCACGAAACGTGTGAGGGGTGTGCCGAAATGGGTGTGGGTGACGCATGCGGCCGCGGGCACTGGGGCCTTCGGTGGAGCTCCCTATGGAGCCACGAAACGTGTGAGGGGTGTGCCGAAATGGGTGTGGGTGACGCATGCGGCCGCGGGCACTGGGGCCTTCGGTGGAGCTCCCTATGGAGCCACGAAACGTGTGAGGGGTGTGCCGAAATGGGTGTGGGTGACGCATGCGGCCGCGGGCACTGGGGCCTTCGGTGGAGCTCCCTATGGAGCCACGAAACGTGTGAGGGGTGTGCCGAAATGGGTGTGGGGACGCATGCGGCCGCGGGCACTGGGGCCTTCGGTGGAGCTCCCTATGGAGCCACGAAACGTGTGAGGGGTGTGCCGAAATGGGTGTGGGTGACGCATGCGGCGCGGGCACTGGGGCCTTCGGTGGAGCTCCCTATGGAGCCACGAAACGTGTGAGGGGTGTGCCGAAATGGGTGTGGGTGACGCATGCGGGCGCGGGCACTGGGGCCTTCGGTGGAGCTCCCTATGGAGCCACGAAACGTGTGAGGGGTGTGCCGAAATGGGTGTGGGTGACGCATGCGGGCGCGGGCACTGGGGCCTTCGGTGGAGCTCCCTATGGAGCCACGAAACGTGTGAGGGGTGTGCCGAAATGGGTGTGGGTGACGCATGCGGCCGCGGGCACTGGGGCCTTCGGTGGAGCTCCCTATGGAGCCACGAAACGTGTGAGGGGTGTGCCGAAATGGGTGTGGGTGACGCATGCGGCCGCGGGCACTGGGGCCTTCGGTGGAGCTCCCTATGGAGCCACGAAACGTGTGAGGGGTGTGCCGATGATGATGATGATGATGATGATGATGATGATGATGATGATGATGATGATGATGATGATGATGATGATGATGATGATGATGATGATGATGATGATGATGATGATGATGATGATGATGATGATGATGATGATGATGATGATGATGATGATGATGATGATGATGATGATGATGATGATGATGATGATGATGATGGGAGGGGGGAGGAGGCAGCGGGAGGAAGGAAGGAAGGAAGGAAGGAAGGAGAACGCGGGGCACCGTCTCTTCAAAACGAGGACCCAACACCACAGGATGGTTGGGAACTAAGCCATCCCCGAAGACACAGAAAACCTCTCAGAAGAGGCGAGGGCCCATGAGAGGTCCTGCCGCAAACTGAGAAGGCCTTCTCCCCCATCGATCCCCCCCTCGCTCGCCACCGAAACAAGGGTCTCACGCTCGAGCCGCAATCATGCTGAACAACCACAAAAGGAAGCATGTGCTGAAAGGGCTGCTCGCGCCACTCGTTCCACAAGCTTCGCCTAAAGGAGAGAATCTAACTGACAACCCGACGCGGATGGATACAAGAGGCGAAAGCGAGGGCCGCCCACAGGCCAAGCTCCTCGCGCGTAGAACATTTTATCTGGAACCCCGCCAGCCGCGGCGCGCGACCCAAGGCGCGACCGCGCGGCCCCCAGACGGAGATCCACGCTGCAATGCGATCTTCTTGCAACGGGCAAAATGTAAAGCAGAGCCATCGCACTGGCGCGCGCGCGCCTCGAAAGTGGCCGACAGCCTATTCCACGTCGCCCTGAGCTGCTCACGCTTCTCACATCGCTGCAAGCTGTCACTGGTGCCCCACCCCCCTCACCGCCCGACGGCGGCCATGCCGCGCGCGCCCTTCAGGCAGTCGCGGGGCGACCCCGAACGCCGCGCCCGGCACGGCACCACTTCGATCCCAAGGCGGGCATCGCGGCTTTGATGGCGCGGGCGAGCTCGGGATAGGCGAACGTCTAGGGCGACTCGCCAGCGGGCCCGATCTCCAAGCCGGCCAGCAAGGGGCGTAGCGATGTCCGGGAAGAGTGCCCCAGCACACAGCTCCGATCGAACTCGTTCAACTCGTTGGCCACCCCCATCGCGCGCGAGACGAACGCCACCCCCCAGTCCCCCGCCGCCGAGCCCGGGGACATCCAGCCCTCGGGCCGCGGGGTTGGAAGCCAGCCAGCCAGGGCGCGAGCAGGTGCCCCACATCACCAGCGACCTCGCGAGCCTCGTCTCCAGCCCCCGGCTCGCGACGAGACCGCCCGCGACGGCGGCCCGCGCGGGGCAAGGCCCGAGGCGGGCAGGCCCGAGGAGGCACCGCGCCCACGCACTCCACGAGCGCCGGCCAACTGCGAGGGGGGCCCCAGCCTCCGACCTACCTGAAATGGGGCCCGACGCGCAGCGTCGCAGCGATCGCCTGCACGCCCCCGCACGGGGGAACCCCCTCTCGGCCAGAGCTCCTCGAAGTAGCCCGCCAGGGGCGAGTCGAGCTGCCCAGCCCGAACGTCCTGCCCCCCGCCGACCTCGGCCCTCTCGGCGACGGCCGCCAGCCCCCTCGCGCACAGAATTCTCGGCCCGAGTCCGCACAGCGCGCTGCCCTGGCACGCTGGCACCCACCTGCTCGTCGCGCCCCGTGCACTCCAGCAGCCACTTCTCCGGGCGGCGCCCCCACCCGGCGCCCCAGCACTCGGATGCGCTCGGCGCGCTCGGCCCCCACCCCGGACTCGCTCGAAGCGGAGTCGGACGGCGCGGCTCGCTTCGTCGCCGAGCCCATGGCGATTGGCCCCAGGACGCAGCGCTGCCCCGTCGCCTGGCCCATCAAAGAAAGAGCGCCAGAGCGCGGCGAGGGAGCCGACAGCAGCGCTCCGCGACCGCCACGGCCCCCGGTCCGCACGCGGCCCTTCAGCACCGGCGGGGCGACTCGCAGGCGGGCCAGGGCCCTCCACCGTCTCGTCGCCGATGCCGGGGGCTTCGAAGGGACTGATGCGACGGGGGTCGATCTGGCCGGCCCCCGCACGCGGCGGGACTCGCCCACTCGCCCCAAAAAGACGACGACGCGACGACCGACAGCGACGAAGGCGGCGACGGCGAAGAGGATGATGAGGGCCAGCCTCGGAGAGCGAGGAGGGAAAGAAGGACGACGACGGCGACGACGGCGACGACGGCGACGACGAAGTACTTCCCCTCGCTGGATGCCTCGCAAAAGATCCGTGCAAGTCCGAGGCAGCACACGAGCAACACCTAGGTAGGATACACGCCAAGGCTTTTGCAGAGGAGGAGAGCAGCAGAAGCATCGTCGACGTCCGCGACGTCGACGTCGACGACGAGAACCGCGCCGTCGCTGCCAGGACAAAGCGCCGTCCTTATTGTTCGACGTGCTCGGCGGTGCCTCGCAGGCGTCTCCGGCAGAGGGGCTCCTCTTCCAAGCGCAGCCTTCGGG